AGGTTTGTGTTGCATTCGCGTCCTAAGATTTAAGTTCTTCTTCACTTCACACTAAAAATAAACAGATCTGTAATCGATTATTCGAATCTTGGCTATTCATATCTGTAATATAATCCACCTAGTTCCTGTTGCATCTTTTTGTCAGAAACAGCACCAGACTTCTCAAAATAACAGAAATGGTAATAATTGGGGGATACATACAAAATAAAATTTAAAAGAAAAGAAAAATCACTCATGATTTCTCCATCATTAGATTTATTATGAATTTGTGCTAAAAGTGTCCACATACAATTCAATGGCTCCGCACATTTGTCGTCAGATTTTGTCTCCTTAAGTGTCGTTTCTTCATCATTGCCTTGAAATTTGCATAGCTAACAAGTCTGTCAAGTTTGCAGAGAAATTTTCAAACTTCTCACTTTCTTAAATCCCTTATCTCAAAACTTTTCCATCTTCCAAGTTTCTTACTTTCACATCCACAAGAGAACAACAAGAGAAAGACAGAGAGGGAGAAAGATAAAATCAAAAACCCTCTTTCAAGGCATGTCATAGATCATGTTTATGGAACAGGGAGGCAACAACATAAGAGATAAGATATATATCAAGTTATCAGAATCTTATATACATAATTCATCTGTAACACACGTTTCTGATTCCAAAAATCAGTTCAAGAATAACTTTACTGAAACAGGAGGCAGATTCTCATCTTTAGTAAAAGTGTTCATTCTCATTATAAATTTCATGAACATACAAAATTGTACTATAATTTTTCTTCTTCCTTTTCCCAGAATTTGATCTTAGTGCTTGAATAATGCTTGACCAACCACATCTTTATTTCCTATTGACATTTTAAAATCATTCAAGCAGAGGATGTTGTAGCAGAGCAGTGGCTGATCATGGTTTAGCCTTTTGATCATCTCTCTTTTCCCTTTATCTTCTCTCTTCTCTTTCGATTTTAATCTCCAAATGCAACCCTTTTGCAGCATCCTTAATTCATCCTCTCTGCAATGAGCAAAGTGACAAAAATGCTTGTTAGATCCACAAAAATTGAACAGAACGTTATCAAGTTTTTGACAAATCACAACCTCATTTGTCTGCAATTTCTTGCAGTGTTAAATACTGCAAAGAGATCACAAACGTTTAAAACCTTGAACACAACACATGGTTAATGATATATAAATGGAACTTGAACATACCGATGGATCTTTTGCAATGAAGAACTGCTTCATAAATTGAACTTTCGGAATCACAGGACTTGCGCCAGTCGTCAGCAGAATAAGCTACACTAATCCGTGGGGATGATTCAGAGTAGCATCCCCTATTCTTTGCTGACTCAGTTCTTTTAATAACAGATTCAGATTTTGAACCTGATTTGGCACTCCTCAATCTTCTACACAAGGGCCTCAAGAAGTTGAGGTACTTCTGAAATATTCTCCTTGACAATGTTCTGCACCTTTTCAATGAAGGGCATCTAGAATGAGCATTAGGAACCACAATTTTTGGCACATGTGATGAGGAAGGTAGACTTGGATTGGAATCTGAGGCCTCATATGCTTCCATTTTCAAAGACTCAACAAAAAGGGGCATGAGATAACCATTGGAAAAGAGGTCATCAGCATCAACAAGAGTGAGAGGAGACTGTGAAGTGGGGAAGTCAAATTTGAAATCTTGAGAGTTTCTGAAGAACCTTTTAGAAGGTGGCATTCTTGGGTCCATTTCAATGAAGGAAGCTTCATCAGAAGCATCAAGAGAAGCTCTGAGGGAGCCTTCAAGGCTTTCTATGGATGGCTTCAGGTTCACCAACCAACTGTAAGAGAAACTTTCAATAGAAAGAGGATGAGAAGTTTCCATGGTTTCAACTTTGAATGTGTGCTTCAAACAATTCACAATCTGGACAGTGTACAGAAAATCCTTAAGCCTCTCCTCTTACTTAATCTTATGCAGCATATCTTTTAACTTCTGTGATATATATAGATATATATGTATGTATATATATATATATACCTTAAGATATCATCTCTCTCCAACAATTGAGAAAATGGCTGTCTGGCAAGAGACAATGAAATTTAATAATTGGAATTAAAAAAAGAAAAGAAAAACACAAAAGAGAGGCCCACCAGACCCATAATGTCTTGTTGCATCAGTAGTTAACCTCACCCTTCCTTTTTAATCATTTGCTACTTTAAAAATTTTACAAAGGGAGTTGGACGGTTTTTGTTTCTAGAACTTGGGACTGGTTTATCATACAAAATTAAATTTAATGAAAAGCATGAAGAGATTCATGAATCGTGCATGCTATTCAGAAGTGGCACATTAAGAAGAATAGAACTAGTTTTGTGCTTTAGAATGTGTAGCCCCGGCAGAGCTTTTTGCTGAGTAAAATCAAAAAGCAAGCAGAGGGAATCTTTATAACCAGACATGTTGAATAAGGAAAAGAATAGTTAGCTGAAATCCTTGGGGAAGTTATGTCAGAAACCAAATTCATGAAACAAGAGGGACCATGTTGTTGATTTTGCATTGTCTCATTGTGATGTGTTCATTTATAGATGGATGGATATGAACATATGTTTTGATCAGTTGGATGATGATGATGATGATGATCACATACCAACTGCTGCAACATAAGGTTGAAGAGAAGTGATAAAATATCGGATGGTAGCATATTGATTACGTGCATGAAACCTAAAGGACATTGATATGCATATTGTATTGGAGCATTATTACATGGATGAGATATTGTAGACAAAATAATTGTTTCATGGAAGAAGCAAGGAAAAAGAGGTGTTCCATGTGTGTGTGTATTTTTTTTTATGGGTCAGATTAGAGTCTTAATCAAGACATTGAAGAATTTATGCCATAAGTTAGCTCCGTCGTGAAAATATTCCTTAGGCAAATCTATGGCTAGTGGGGCAAAATGTCTCCAAACTATAAAGCAAACCGTTCGAACAAAAGTTTTCATTATTAAGCCTCCGTTTCTGTCACACACACCAATCGTGGTTTGGTGAACGTTAAAATCTCACTGCCGTTAAATCTGTCTTGCAAATTCTCTCACTCTAAATCGTACTTATTTCGTTTTCAAGTACGAAATTATTTTCGGGGCTTTTAACAAAATTCGGTATTTTAAAAAAATATGTATAAAATAGAAAGTAGATTTTTCAAAAATTTAAGTTGTGCTTCAAATATATATGNAAGAGATTCATGAATCGTGCATGCTATTCAGAAGTGGCACATTAAGAAGAATAGAACTAGTTTTGTGCTTTAGAATGTGTAGCCCCGGCAGAGCTTTTTGCTGAGTAAAATCAAAAAGCAAGCAGAGGGAATCTTTATAACCAGACATGTTGAATAAGGAAAAGAATAGTTAGCTGAAATCCTTGGGGAAGTTATGTCAGAAACCAAATTCATGAAACAAGAGGGACCATGTTGTTGATTTTGCATTGTCTCATTGTGATGTGTTCATTTATAGATGGATGGATATGAACATATGTTTTGATCAGTTGGATGATGATGATGATGATGATCACATACCAACTGCTGCAACATAAGGTTGAAGAGAAGTGATAAAATATCGGATGGTAGCATATTGATTACGTGCATGAAACCTAAAGGACATTGATATGCATATTGTATTGGAGCATTATTACATGGATGAGATATTGTAGACAAAATAATTGTTTCATGGAAGAAGCAAGGAAAAAGAGGTGTTCCATGTGTGTGTGTATTTTTTTTTATGGGTCAGATTAGAGTCTTAATCAAGACATTGAAGAATTTATGCCATAAGTGAGCTCCGTCGTGAAAATATTCCATAGGCAAATCTATGGCTAGTGGGGCAAAATGTCTCCAAACTATAAAGCAAACCGTTCGAACAAAAGTTTTCATTATTAAGCCTCCGTTTCTGTCACACACACCAATCGTGGTTTGGTGAACGTTAAAATCTCACTGCCGTTAAATCTGTCTTGCAAATTCTCTCACTCTAAATCGTACTTATTTCGTTTTCAAGTACGAAATTATTTTCGGGGCTTTTAACAAAATTCGGTATTTTAAAAAAATATGTATAAAATAGAAAGTAGATTTTTCAAAAATTTAAGTTGTGCTTCAAATATATATGTTTTGAAATGCGAATTCATAATTTATTTTTTAGAAATTTAAAATGCAAAAGAAAAAAATGAATCATATTTTTACACATGAATATTATGTACTTCATTTTTAATTCATGTTTCTAAAAATGATTTCCTAATTTTTATTTTGTTAAAAAATGGGTTTATAAGTAAGATTTATTTTTAGTATGTTGTGTTTTGTCGACTCGAATTCCATGTATATATTTAAAAAAAAAAAAGTAAAAGTGGTGTTTTCATTTACAATTCCAAGAACAAAAGTTAAAAATATATTGTGAAATGGGACTTTTTTTTTTCTTTAAAGTGTTCTACAAAAAACACTTGCCCATAATTTAAAAATGAAAATATCTAGTTTTTGTAAAATTAAAAAAAAAATACCTTTTTATGTTAATATTTTGAATAATTTGTTTGACAATTTTTCTATTAAGTATAAAATTTATACGTGAGTAAATAGTGAAATTATAAGAATAGTGACATGGGTGGAAGAGAGAATAAAGAAATTCTCAAAAGATTGACAGTAGAAAAAGAAAATGAGTAAGCATTTGTTTGATAAAAGATGGTTACGTTTTCGAAAAAAGAAAATATACATGTTCCTTTAATTAAAACCTCAATTGCAGAGGAAAAAATAGTATTTTATTTAAGGAAAATTAATTTGGTCCCTAAAGTTGAATTTAATGCAACACATGGATAATAAAGTCGCATATATTCGATCTTCTGAAAACAAAAAAAAGGTGGGCATTCATTAATCACAGAATGTGATATTAATTCAGCCCAAAACTTGATAACTACTTCCCATACAGGACACTTCCGACTATTTTATTTTAGTAAAAATTCATAAATACTTCTATTTTCAATATATTTAGAAAATTTAATAGAAAACTCAACAATGAGATATCAACTCAATTTATATAAAAAATTAATATTACTTTCAACTCAAAATTTTAAAACAGTAAATTTATTAATTTTTTCTTTACATGTTCAGATTTCTTAATTTTATTTAACAGGAGACTTAGATTTATACTTACGTTTTCGATAAAAATATGTTTTGTATAGTTTTTCTAACTAAAAGCATAGAAATATGAATTAGAAGCGAACTGCAAAATTGTATAGTACTTACAATTTACAGCATAAAAACAAATGTAAAAAGGGACAATAGGTATGTTGAGATCTCACGCGCAGAAATGGATAAATTACATGATACCATTACCACTAGACTCCTTCAGACAGACACACGTAGCTGTATTCTTGTCCTTCAATCACTTTAGCACAACTCTCAAATATGAACTAAATAAATATCATGATTTTCATGGCAAGGAAATTTCAGCCTTTATCATCCACTACAACCCATGTGTGGTGTTGCATACAAATCTTCTCTAGCATAAAACATTCATCATCAAATTCTGTCCTTTTCATCGAGAAATTAGCTAATAACACACCACAACCAATTAACTAAAAATACTAATCTAATGTCTAATATTTTAGATAATTATGTTTCTTAAACATGTATGTAGTCAGATATTCCATACTGGAATCTGCATATCTAGCAGATGAAAACTCAATATTCCAAACAGATACCGATACTTCAAAAGATTACTCTGTAATTCTAAAGCAGATGATGCCTGAATCATGAGTTGTATTATAAAAAACATTTGTAAAAAGATATTAATCTTTGAAGCAAATCAGTTTATGAAGAAATTAGCACTAAACTTTAAAGTAGGTGAGACTCCAATTAAAAAGAATGTAATTTATTGAAAAATTGAAAATAGGAGGAGACAAGGGTCCCAAGGGATGTCGGATAAAGAGGTAGACATCAACAAAGGTTTTTGGGACAAAAGCCACTAAGGAAGGATTACAGAGTGACTTGAAACCAATTGGTCCCCTTCCATTGTCCCCATTGAGGACAATGAGTATTGGCTGCTAAATCCATCACTCATTAATGCAGTCTAATTCTGAAAAGACGTTACACCATTCATGCAAGTACAAAGGAACCTAAGTACGACAGAAAATTTAACTGCAAGAATATAGTTAGGGATAAACTTCAAATGGAGAAGAGAATCAAGCCAGCTAGCAGACCTTGAACTGTTTGTCAACAAGTCTCCCCTCTATGGGGCCAGAGCAATGACATTCCCTATATTATATGGCTTTGTACTGCTAAATGAAGCCACAAATTTTAGTTTCAGAAATATCCTTAACCGTTTAGACTATACCACTTCTTTTTTCTTTTCTTTTTCGAAATTATGTCAACCACAGGAGTTTAAATTTCCAAACAAACTAGCTTCACTGAGAGTTCCTAGGAAATTTCATGTGACATTCTCTACCAGGTACAAATTATGAATGCTGTTCTGGTATTGTACCATCCAAGCTAACATTTTTGGAAATATTACCCTGATGCCAGAAATAGTTATCCTGACAAGAGTTATGCAACCAAATCTTTTTGCCTTCCTTTTATTGTTTGGTCAATGGGGAATGGAAATTCTTTAACTTTCTTGGTAAATATGTAAGCTTTTACTAATCATGGTCAAAGCAGGCTGAGAAGCAGAGATGATGCCAGCATGAAAAGAAAGTAGTCAAGTATCATTGCATGAGATCTAGAAAAACATAAACAAAAGCATTTAACATGTATCCAACAAAATTCGTGGCAACAGGTTCTTAACCATATGAAGACAGATCCATCAATGTGCTAAGAAATACAAGATGTGGCATCCACTGCCTTATAGAATGTATCAGGGGAAAAAGAAATCTAACAAGGCACAGCATAGCATATAGACAAGTACTTAGTTCAAGGAAAAAAGAACCACATAAGCCAACTGCTTCCCTTAAGGTGGCACAAACTGAGAGAACCACAGAATATACCTACAGAGGGACGATACCAGGGTCTTGTGCCACAACTGGTTGCTCTGCAATTAAGATGGTAACATGGTAGTTGGGTGGAGAAGCAAAATATTTAGGTTCACTGCTGATTGCTAGTTGTAGAGGGAAACATGAAGCAGCCTAAACTGACATCAAGTTTAAATATTTAGGTTCACTGCTGACTGCTAGTTGTAGAGGGAAATACAACATTCAGATGAAATAAATTTTTCCCAATCTTAGAAGCGAGAAGAAGTACTTGATAATATCCAAACTGAATTTCAAAGCTGGAAATAACCAAGGGAAACTAACATATAAACTATCTTGTATACTATAACTTTAATATTTTATTAACTTCAATATAGGATTTTTAACTTGCCTCACTTTGGAGAATTCAATTAGGTTTCGAATTTTGAATTTCTCACACATATGGTATTTCTACTAAGATTGGGAGGGTGGAGGATTCAATACTGTTATCCTCAAGAATTATTTTCTTCATCAGCAACAGATAAGTTGCAGA